CCCCCCCAACCCCCCCTCCCCACTGCTCCTCCTGGGACGTTCCCCGACACCCCCGTTCTCCCAGGGTGTCCCCCCCAACACCCCCTCCCCACCGCTCCTCCCGGGACGTTCCCTGACACCCCCGTTCTCCCAGGGTGTCCCCCCAACACCCCCTCCCCACTGCTCCTCCCGGGTGCTCTCTACTGATACAGTTCTCAGGCAGGAGGTTCTGAGCACATGGCTTAAGGCCCAGGTCTGGGTCCGGACAACGTGAGCCTGCTGACGAATGTGATAGGGTGGGCTTTGTCTCTTTTTTTTTTCTAGAGAGACATTTAAAAGGCAAAAAATATATATATTTATTTAATTCTGTTTGTTACTATTATTTTTGATCTGACCTGATAGAAACGGGAGAGAGAGGAAGGGAAAGTGAGAAAGCAAGCCGCTGGCCACATGGGAATCCAGCGCCCCAAGCACCACACCGCCAGCCGGTCCCCCCCTTTGTTTTTGATTTTTGCTATAGAGCACATGCGCTCACCAGAGACACAGAGACAGAGAGACAGAAAGCGAGAAATCACCCGCGCCGGGGGCGGGGACACACGGCGGCTCTTTCTGCATTCGCTTCTCGGCACCTTGAGCTGGTATGCCCGGCACGAGTTCTAAGCCAGAGTCCAGACTCAGGCCACAGGCCACCACATGGGAGCCCATCTGCTGTCACCCTGATTTACTGGTGAGGAGACAGCCTCAGGAAGGTGCGGCTACATGTCCAGGTCACACGGCAGGAAGTGGCTGGAGGTACAGTGCCACGCGCTCCGCCCCTCGGCCTTGCCTCTCCTGCCAGGGTGGGCGCTGGTGTGGGCCTCGGAGACCCCATGGTCAGGCTGCGTGCAGGTGTCCGGCTTGGCGTTGGGAAGCGTCAGACGTGCTTGGTGACAGTGACCAACTGGCCACCCGGCTCTGGCACCTCCCAGCCCAATCATGCCTGTTGGTGGGGCCGACACACACACGTACACACGCTGCACACTGCAGACCCCGTCCTGGTCGGCACGCGTGCGGCCCCAGCCCCGCGGGTACGGGCGTGCCCCCTCCCAGCAGAGCTGCTGTCTCAGGGCCCAGGGCCTCGGGCCCACCGCGGGGAGCCCCAGGGCCGAGGTGCATGTCTGCCGTGTGCACCTTCCTTAAAAGTCGGCCCTGTGGGCGGCAGGGGTGTGGTGGTCGGGACGCTGGACTCCCACATGGCCAGGTGCGGTTTGAGTCCTGGGCCTGGTGGCTTGCTTTCTCACTTTCCTTTTCTCGCTCTCCATGTCTCTCTCTGATCAAAATTAAATACCAATAAATAAATATTTTAAAAGGCAGGCCAGGCCCCTCCCAGCCCGGACGGCCGCTAGATAGCTGTGCTGCTTCACAGAGAGCCGCTGCCTTCTGAGAGTCCAGGGGAGAGCAGGGGGGCTTTTCCCCTTTTTAACAACTGAGTGGGAGCGGGGACGGGAGCACACTGCAGGGTCCCCGCTCCAGAGTGCCGCCGCCGCGACCATCCCGCCACCACCCCGCTCTCAGGTCCTGGGCGCCCGCACTGACAGGCTGCCCCAAGTCTCTGGCTGTGCAGCTGAGTCTGCCCAGGAAGAGCCCAGCTGGGCGGCCGTGAACCCCCATCCTCGGAGTGTTCCCATCGACCCCACTGTCCACATTCAAGTGTTTGGCGTCCAGATGCAGGGGGCCAGGGTCCCCTGGGGGACACAGCTGCCCAGCTGCTCTGACGCCAGCCTCTGTCCCCAGGACACCAGGCCAGCCCAAGATCGACCACCTGCGCAGGCTGCACCTGGGGGCCCACCCCACAGAGGAGTGCAAGTCCTGCACCAGGTAATCCGCCACCCCTGGCCCACGGGTCCCCATCAGGGTGCTGGCACGGGTGGCCACGGAGCCACGTGCGGACGCAGAGTTGCACCCCAGCGGGGTGCCAGCGCCCTCAGCCCAAAGGCTGCAGCCGTGGCTGTGTCCAGTTTCCCTCCAGGGTCCAGGCCCAGCTGGTGCACAGGACCCGGTGCCCTGGTCTGGAGGGGGTGGAGGGGCTCGTGCAGGGGCTGATGGCACGCAGGGGGCATGTCCTGGGGGGTGGTGTTCTGGGGAGAGTGGTGGGGGTGTGGAGAGCAGCGGCC